AATCATGGCCTTGTTCTACCGGAGTAGATTCACTCGCCAGCCTTCTGCCTCTCCCTTCCAGTCCATTTACTCCCTGGTTGTCGTTCATGGTATGGTCCGTATTGACCTCCACTTCTAACAGTTCTCTTCGCTCTTCTGAGGTCTTTTGACTTCTCGTTTCAACCATTCTGCCTGAAACCGTCCCCTCTTTATCGGACCGGGTTCGCTTGATCCAATCCACAAAAGGATCGGTCATCGTTTTTCTTTGCTTTTCAGGTATGAATTTCCTAGAGCTATTACCTCGTTTTGGTATCCTTGACTTGTCTAAACTCATTCTTTATTTGTCACTTTCCTATGCCTACTCTTGACTCAATTGCTAGAGACCTTATAGTTTTATTAACAATAATAATGACACAACACAATAAATTTCACCAGATTCTATTAAATAGTGACCACGAATCCCTGTATGTTGTCAGAGTACAGTTTGTATAAAATTTATTCACACTAACCGATTATCGGTCCAAAGATTTTGAAACTAGCACAATATGATGTTATCAGTCAATTTAAAAGATAGTGTACTCACTACCCAATCAAGCACAGTTTACGTTGATTTAAAATCAAAAACAAATAATTTATTTTGACACAATATGAATGTATATATAAAAAAAACGTATGTGTCTTGTACTCTTAGTCGGTCGCAGTACAATAGTCGAACCTGTCTTTTAAAGAAAAAGCTTTCCCTGCTCGGTGCCGCACCAAACAGACAAAACTTTGAAGGCAGTAATTTTCTCAAGTGGGCGTCTATTGCACCCACCGAGTACTGTGTTACCTATCTGCCTTCGGACTGCCCGAGCTACACCTACTAAAATCCTCAGGGCAGTCACTTTTCCCAAAAACGTATTATGTTTCAATCCACACCAATGAATCACGCTCTTTTTAATTTAGACTTAGTGTCGCGAATATCCGAGTTCGGACCTGTTTTGTATTAGTCTGGTTCTTATTGAAAGGCAAGTTACCAGTGCAGTCACTGATACCTAGCCTGTGTGTTAATAACCTAATACCTCTCACTTTTTAGTCTTTCTTTCGTCTACCTAAGTCCTTAATAAAATAATACCCCTCCGGATTGGCACAAATAGGACCCTTCCGGATTGATAGAATCTAGACCCCTCCGGATTTGGACCCCTCTGAGTTGGTTAATAGAAGACCCCTCCGGATTTGGACCCCTCCGAATTAGCAACTATAAGACCCCTCCGGATTCGGACCCCTCCTAACTTGAAAAATCTTTGACCCCTCCGGATTAGGAGCCCTCCGGTTTTGTAAAAGTGGCTTTTCGGAGATTTCCTTTTTTCAACCTATACCCCTCCGGATACGTTCTCCGATGCAATTATGCTCTTTCAATTAACTGGGAAGGGTATGTACTACCTTCCTAGACCCTTCCGGATTGAAGTTAAGCCTTTTATTTGACAATTCACGCTAACGGTGAAGGGTCTTATCACTTGCCTAACTTCGACTCTATTATGGTTGTCTTGTGCCTTCAGCCTTCCCTTTTTGTCTAGAACTGTCCTAAGTTACTTAGTTCAATCGCTATCAACTTTTGGTAGGGGTATAAGGGTTTTTCAGAAAAATTTATAAAACGTGAAGGGTGTACCCCTCCGGATTTGTGTAATTTGCTAAAAACAATCTCAAAAAATTTTCTCGCTCGCTTTTCCGAAAAATTTCTGATCCTATTAGTAAGCTCAGCTAATTTCTGATCTATTGGTACCAAGATCAACTCGATATGATCAGTAGTTCCAAAGTTATTAACCAAAACGTCTTTTTTCCGAACTCAAAAAATTTTCTCTCTTATAGGTTCCGCCTAACTTTTTCCGCAAATCTGGTCCTTTCGACCTAAAAATTATTGATCCGAGCTCAGAAGGCCTATACTCTTCTAGTTCAATGCAAAAGACCCAATCTAAAACGCTATTGTAGAAAAATTTTGCGAAAAACTATGCTACCTGGACCCCTCCGGATTGATGAATCCACCAAATCAAACACGTTATGTTCGATTTCTCTGCAACCCGGAAGGCTTTCGGGTAGCGGATTTTAAGACTTGTAGATTCACTAGTGGACGTTGTCCGAACAACTATTTTTACTGTCCTACCTCAAAAATTTCAAAAAATTTTCTAAATTTTTAGTGTTTCTTACTATCAAAAATTGGGAAAATTTGGTTTTTGGTACCAAACTAGTTCCAACCACTTCCGAACTAAAGTTAACCGGTTCTACTTATTACAGTAGTGCAGTTACGATGTAACACACTAACTTAGCGCTTTTTTCCGTTTCAAAAAATATCGATATCTCAAAAATCGCGACTTGTGGGGGGATCAAAATATCGCTATTTTGACCCTAAAAACCGGTCTGTTTTCGTTGTTTTTCACTGAAAAACGATATGTGACTATTAATATAGGCTATATGAATAATAATATTAGTAATACTATACCCCTCCGGGTTTGTTTATTATCCGAATTAAGGTGCTTAACTCGGATATTCGCAGTTCGGTGAAGGGTCACTACAGTGCAGCACTGTCGAGCCCCCCACAGATTACTATCTTACTTTTTGTACCAAAAGGGATACAAAACTTGTTAACGATACCCAACAGTCGATTGTTGTTGTCGTTGAGCCCCTTCTTGTTGCTCCTTGAACTGCTTGCCGGATCGGTCTTCACCCAAGACCCTTCCGAATTGAGCGCGAATCAGCTGACCCTTCCGGATTGAGCGCAATTTATCATTAACGTGCTTAAATGCTCAAATAACCCTACAGTACAAGCCTCACAAACGGGCTACAAAATTGATCGTAACGATCCTGACTGATATAAATGCCTGTAACAACAATATATCTATCAACAACAAACGGGGGGGTTGAATCACATCTTGTCTGGGGGGATGATTTCTACTGATTTTTTACTTTTTTACTGTTTTTGGTTTTTTCGGTTATTTTTTATGTTTTTTGTTTTTCTTGGGTACTATACTACTTTTTGTTTGGTTTTGCTGATATCTTTAAGTGTTTTTGGTCACAAACCACTCAGGGGATGAGGGGTTCATGATTCCCCCCACCCTTCCTGGTTCGTGAATTTTCGGTCTTAACTAGGTTAAAAAACTATTCACGGTAATCCGGAAGGCTTCCGCGTTCCGAACTACCCTTCCGCCCCGGCAGTTTAGGCCTATTAAGGGCGTTAATGTGAGCATCCGCTCGGCGCGGAGTGCTCGTTAACGGTTCCGCCGGTCATGATGTTATGAAAGAATAACACCCAGGAGCGCCATAAAAACATACATGTAACATTCGCCCGGAAGATACATATCGACGGATAACAAAACTAAGTCTTAAGACGACTGGCTAGCGTCTAAACAGAGCTTTGCATGTTTTTCACCGTCTCTACCAAGCCAGTACTTTTCGGTGGTCTTTCTTACATCAGGCTGACAAAAACGTTACTGTTCTCCGGCTTCGACCAGAACGCTCAAATTAACTGAATTACATGCGAAATTAGTGAGCTCATGGCTGGGTCTCTGTATCCCCAGACCACGAGGTCACTCCTAAAAACAGGGCTACTACTTATCATATTACTATTGTTTTTGTTCAGTAGATAAAAATCATCATCTCCATCGAAGATGGATCAACCCTTTCCCCCAACTCCTAGCACCTCATCCTTGTCAAAACTAATCAAAATATCAGTTAAATTCAAGTCAGGACATGACAGGATGCTAAAAGTTTATGTGAGTTAATAAAAGTTTCCGTCCCGAGACCCTTCCGGATTCTTGAATCCGCCGAATCAAGCTCCTTACTCTTGATTTCTTGCTAATCCGGAAGGCTGGTTCTCACCCTTCACCGTTGTTGGCAACGGCCTTGCAACTATTGTAGCAGCACAATAGTTGCAACTCGGAGCGTTCTCTGCTATTCTGTAGTTCGTTGTCGTTTTCCAATCTCGATTTTCGTACTGTTCGCAATCGCAGATAAAAGTTGTTCTGTTTTTTGCTCGCTTTTTTGTTAAAATGGCCGTTTCAGCATTTCTCAGAAACGTGACGTCATCATTCGAATTTTTGAAAATTTAAAATACTAGAATATTCTAGCCCTCACCGTTTGGCTAAACGTTCCAATAACGTCGCTAATCCTTCGAAATCATCAACTCGGAAGGCTTACTGCTCAAAATTCGAATCCTGCATAAATTGCATTTTGGCCATTCTGGTCGAATGTCACATACCTTGGCCATATCAGACTCCATGTTGTCAGATGAGAGTTCGTGATCCGGTTCTTTTAAATTCTGTATCCGTATGCCGTTGAAGCAACTGGGATCTGGTGGTTGAGGTTTCTGGGGACGGGTATCGGAACCACTGAGAACACTTGGGGGGGGGGGGGGAGGGGGGCTGGCTTGTCCACTACTTGGACTAAGCGTTCAAGTTTTTGTTCAATGAGTTTGAGTCTCTTATCGGTCTCCTCCCAGGCAATGGCGGGTTTATCAATTGATCTGCTCAAGCAAATATCACACATGTACACAATATTATCTGATGTTGAAATATACTTGAAGACTTCCCTGGGAATTTTCGCGCAGTCTGCATGTGTCCACTTTGAGCACCGGTCGCACTCGATCCAGTCATCCCCATCGGTTCTGCTGCATTTGAGACATTCTTCTTCGTCTGCTCTGATGTCGGTCGTTGATTTAGTCCTCGTATTCTTCTGGTTTTTCTTTCCGGCTGCAGGCATGTTGTGAGTTGGGAGAGTCAGGTTCAGTCCTCGCTCATATACATATGAAACTATTTAATCAATTTGTCACAACAATTAGTACCTCCCAACTTTGGTACAATACCGTACTAGTACATGTACTAGTACCGGTACCATGTCAACTCTTATAAACTGTCCATGATTGGTGTTTCTTGATAAAATTTCAACTGTTGACCGTGTGGTTTTCTTTTAAATGCTTCGAGTGGCTTAAAACATTCTGCTTAAGAAACTTTCAAAATTGTTCCAAACCTTATACGCAATCTGATTTTTTCAGAGGTAAAAATGGCGCGAGAACAGGTGAAGTTCATGGATGATGATGAGAATGATTTCGATCTCTATGATTTTGACACAAATGAGCAGGTAAGCAATAGTCAGCGTTTTGGGTCTTTACTGTTGTACCCCCCTAAATGAAGAAAAATGAAAATCTCGGAACAAAATTGGATTAATTCCACTCGGAAAGGCAAGATATTAATATAAGACTGGACAAAACGAAGCATTTCTGCTTGGTTTAGCCTCTAACTAGCCTTTTCTTTATTTTTTTTTGCAGTTTTCTGCAGATAAATTTCATAAAAGGAATGCCAAAGTGCAGTTTTTAATTGTTTATTTTGCATTTTTGACTTTTTTGGGCTCGGTTTAGAGCTCGTGATATAAGTTTCTGCATTCCTGAGTAAAATCAGTCCAATTTTGTACCGAAAAGACCCGCGTTTTGATCGAAAGAACGGAAATACAAGGGTTTTTAATAATTATGCTTTCAAGGTGGGACAGCAGCTGAGGGAAGCAGTTAAAACGAGCTATGGAAAGTCTAGTCACGGTAGAGTTGCTGCTTCACGAGCAGGAAAACCGCCATCTTTGCCTGGTGGATCAAACAATTTCGGGGTGAGAGTATCATTAGACTTCTTTTTGATGAAATATATCAGATAGGCAATTTCATGAAACTGTAGTGTTATAATCATAATTCACCTCTAGTTATGAATTGATGAATTTATTGCTAATGACACGGATTTGTTTTAGGCGGTGCCCCCAACATCATTTGGGCGAATGTCGACTGCACAGGCTGCCGCGGAAGCAGCTGCAAGACCGATGACTGCTGTGAGAGCTGCTGGATTTTCATCGGCTAAAGGTAAGTTACCTGTACCATTTTAATAGAGCAACTTTTTGCCTAATTGTTGTGATAAACTTAGTAAATAGTTTCATGTTGAATGAATCGACGAGCCGGATTAGAAGTAGCCCTTGATTAAGACGAAGAGATTTTAGAGATCCGGTTGTCTGAACATTTATCTTGCTCTCATGCAACCTTGTAATTAGACCTAAATTTGTGCCTTCAAAAATCTTAACTGATTAGGAGGGGCATTTTGGGACCATTTTTGGAGTACTTTTTGGTCCATTTTTGGAGACTTCCAGTTAATATCCACCCTCCGCGCTATCTTTTGGACGGTCGCGCCAGAAGCTGGAAGGACAATCACGATTAACCACCAAGTAGGAACCCAAGTTCACCAGATGAAGCGCCAACTAACCAGACACACTGCTGCCAGCGTGCAGCGCGGTTTCGCGGGAGACAATTCGCAGTGTGGTGCGGTATCTGTGGGTTGATCCACCTGAAACGCAGTAGTCTGCGCAACAGCCATTTGAGGACCCCGGATTTCACGTGCAACACCTGCTCAGCAGTATCAGAATTTTCTGAAAGCAGCACCAGCGGGATGACCCAAATGATTGAATTCCTCAATGCACGCGAAATCGAAACAGATAACCAGCCAGCTATATTTAAACACCCGACGCTGTCCGGCAGGACTAACTGCACCCATCAGCTCTGTTTTATCTATCGCTATATGATGCCGTGCCGAACCCAGCGAAAGAATTTACTGGATGCATGGACGAATCATGCAGTAGCATCAAGTGCTCGAAATCATCATGCAAAACAGTCATCGCTCCAACACGCAAATTGACACACCTGGAAAAATACAGCAGAAGCATATTACCTGGTGAAGTACCCGAAGCATGGTTGTCGTGACAGCGCAGGTTTATATGTGCGTGCCGCAAACTTGTATCATGCGTACACCGCGAGTCACATTCGGAACTGCAGTTCCACGATAAGTCACGAAACAGGGCAAGCCACCTCGACCAGCTCAACAGAAGTGCCATCTTTAGATGAAGTCTTGACCTTAAAGCGGGCAACATAGAAGCACATCTTGAAACGAGCTCGTCAAAATTTCGGAAAAGAACTATGATGTCCTTGCTCAGGTCATTTCTATGAACGACCAAGACACATGGACAGAACTGATGATGCTTCCCAAGTGCGTGCTACCGTCAAACAAAAGAGCGGGGAAAAAGCAGAACCTGCCATCCAAAGAAAAGTTTTGTGACAGACAGTTTTGTTCATCGCCGGAGCGTTTTTGACTGCACTGGAGAAAACGGACGACATCCGCCCAATCGCATCGGGCGAAATCCTCAGACGGCTAACGAGCAAATGCGCATGAACTAAACTAAAAATTAAAGCTGCCAGGTTCTTCGAGCCTCTTCAATTTGGATAAACACAACGGATCGAGCATGGACACAAGCACAACTGCCAATACGATTCGGGAGATTTGGCCTGCGGTCGCTGGAACTTCGCTGCAGCCCTGCATTCATAGCCTCACACGTCTTCTCAATGGGTGCCGCATCGGACGTCCCGAAAATGGAAAGAGCTCTTGACATTTTCAACAGCAGAATAGGGGAACATGAACCCCCAGTTCGACTTCTGTGCTCATTCGCCAGAAACCATTATCCAACCCGATTGACGAGCACAGTATCCACGAATTAGAAGAAACGTGCACTCATGCTGAAAAAAGAATGTTAGATGTAGGATTCTCACATTGGAGACTGGATCCGCGCGCAACCTTCAGAAGCGCTTCGCTTAGCCTTATCACCTAAAGAGCCTAACGTTCTCGTCAAATGGCGTCTCGGTCTGTAATTTTTCCCATCCCGTCTGGTGTGATGAAAAGATCTGAACGAAAGCCTTAAATTCAGCATATTCGATAGTCATAGTTAAATAGCCAGATTGGCCAACAGTTTCTTTCAAAAAAAATGACAAGAAAAACAAAAACTCACAAAATGGCGCTAAAAATACTTCGAAAAAATTTTCCAGGAGTAAAACTATGTTTCGAATGAAAATTTCCCGGGTTTTCTTTCTTACGCTTGCGATTAGCAAGCGTTTTCAAATCGAAATAGAGGTTTTTTTTGGGTTAAAAACTTGTTAAACGGATCACTTTGTATCTTGTTTCAATAAATTCAAATTTCCAAGCGTCTCCTGTATAGTAAGTCTGGAGGTAACGAGTACGCCTGCGCTGCAAAGATCCTGGGTTCGAATCTGGCCAGGACCTGTTTTTTCCAAACGAAGCATGCTGTTTCAAAAAATTGTCAGCTTAGTATTTGTCTGCCTGTTTTGTTGGCTCAGTTGCCACACCTTGAATTTTTTACTGTATGCCGCTTTTCTTGTAATTGATTTTTATGTTTTCATTTACTATTGCAATTTGTGATTGTAGTTACCTTGACTTGGCTTATTTTCTTTTTTTTGTTGATTTGAAAATTTTTTCGGTCCAACTGATTTTAACTTATATTTAATCGGCAGACTAACCTAATTTTTGGTCGTTCGAGAGAACCATAGTTTGTATGCTTTCCTCCGGGTCGCACAAAACGTTAATAATCCAAGAATAGAATTAATAGTTCAAAGTTTTTCATGGCAACAATTTTATGTTCGCTCATTATTTGTTTTTGAATTTTCATTACAGGTCGTTGAATGTGTTTCTGGACGTGTTTACCGTAAATAGAACATCATACAATATTTGAAGTTTTTTTTGTTGCGATTTCTTAGAAAGTTTTTCCGTTTTCTTTGGACTTAGTTGCTTTCCTTCCTTTCCTGTCTGCTAGCTTGCAATGCTGTTTTTGTGGTATCGCATGTGATGCGAAGCTCCGCTTCGCCTCTGTGTATAATAAGCCTCTCGCCTGCTATTTTTGCTTGAAATTAGACAAAGTCAATAATTTCAAACCGGTTTTTCTTGGCACTCAGAAAACGTTTTGGAAACTTTTAAAACGGCAACTGTCGACGCATTTTGATACCTTTATGGTACTTGATTTTGCATGGAACACAAAGAAAAACTAAATCACACACGAAGGAGGGTTTAGAGTTCAAATAGTGACGCGGGCTGCTAAAATCCCTAATGCATCCTAATTTTTAGCAAGCGATGTTGTAAATGTCATAGCAGGGGTTAGTGATCGAAATAACTAAGAAAAATTTGCAGATTCTGATAAGTCCTTAAATTTTTGTTTTGATTAGAAAACCCTTTGAAAATGACAAGCAGTGGCAATCAGGGTCCGAAATTGTCGGAGTTCAATGACACCCCCGAAGAGAGGGTGAAGATGCTGGAGAAGAAGGTGATGGAGAGGCTACAGCAGAGCTACCTCGCAGCATCCGATGACTTCCGTGAGTCTAACCTTGAAATTGAAAAATGAAACACCATTTACGAGGTCAAATTTTTTATTTATAAAGATATTGCAAAGCATACAAATTCCACTGAAAATTTTATGACCGCTGCTCTGTTTTGTTGAAACAAAAACGACCCACGTTACCCTAAAGCAAAGAAGGCATTTGTCAAGTCAAATTTTTGACCACAGTTAGCTTGCAAGAAAAAGAATTTAAAATAAACTGATTCTTTCTCCGCTCTGTGAGAACGTTTTTGAGATAATTTTAGTAATTCGAATTTTGAAGTTTATTAGAGCTTTTTCTTTTACTTTCCTGGGATTTTAAGCATGAACTTTTTTTTACAGAAAAGGCACAAGAGTCTGCGCAGATGGCAACACGTGAGTTTGACAAGTTGGAGAGAGAACGTACAACCAATTTACCAGAAAGCAGTCAGAACGTGGACCTGCAGTTCTCGGTGAGTGCTTAGTAGTCAGGCACTGTCACAGGGTGCCTACTTATTCAATGCCACTGGGACTCATTTAGCTCTCAAAAAATAGGAGCACTAAAATAAAGAAGGATATAGAATTCACGCGAAGACGCTAGAGTTGTTAAAATCAATAGCAGATTTACGGAGGGGGGGGGGGACGACCCCCTGTTAGGGATTCGTCCCCCTGCCGACCCAAAGAGTCCCTTCTTTGTACTATTTTGAGATATCCACTTTTGGATGTCTGACCTTTATATTTTTCTAAAGGCGCCTTCGACGTCAATATATACATACTAACTTTGAAAGGGGAGCGCGCGCCGATAAAACGTTATTTTTTGGTCGAATTTTTCCATTAAGTGTCCAAAACGCCTTTTTTGGCCCGTTTTTTGAAAAAGTTGCTTGCGGAGCAGAAAGTTTGGTCATTACAGGGTCTTAAGAGTGATTTGGGAGAGCTCAGAAAATCAAATTGGTCGACCTAAAAAGTTTTTTGAAAATCAACCCACCCCCCCCCCCCCCCACCCTAGATCCGCGCCTGGTTAAAATCCTTCATATTATCCTAAATTTTCAGCAAGCCAAGTCTAAGGTGGTACAGCAGAATTTGGAAAAATTGCACTAATCTGCAGTCCTCATCTACTCAGAAATTATTTGTTGAGTTCTTGTGACGTAAAATGGTGATCATTCATTACATTTTGAGAAAATCAGAAATAATTTTCCATTTTTTGATTGAAAGTTTTCGAGCTCAACAGTATATTTAGGTGAAACTCAACAAAGCAATTCTGCTGCAGAAGACTGAAAAATTCGAGGCTGCTAAGCAAGCGTACCAGGAGATAATTCACAGCAAGAACTTCTTGGATCCAATAACTAAAAGATTCAACGTGAATATTGGAAACATGCTAATTAAGAGCAGAGTCTATAATGACAAAGAGTACAAAAAGGCTATTGATAACACGCCGCAGACGCACAAGCTGATCAAGTGTAAAATAAATATGAACAGGGCGATTGTGTTGATAAAGAAGAGGAAGTATGAAGATGCGGCGGATCTGTTGGAACAGATATTTGCAAACAAAGATACCAGCTACGATATCAGAGCAGGTTGGTTACTGTTATAGGACTCGACTCGATCATTTCACGTGTAGTTTTTTTTGCGACCGACCTCACCCTCAAATATGAAAGCTTGACATATCCCTGTTTGCAGTCTCGTTTTATTGATTTTTTTTCGTGGAGGAAGGGTAAAATACCTGTTCGTCTTACGCAAACTTGAGACTGCTCCAAATCTTGTTTGTGGGTAAACCATTATTTTTTTCCCATTTTTATCTATTCAATCGAATTTTGACTTGTTAGTTTTCCTTTATTTGAGTCTTATTGTTTATTGTGTCGTTTTTTTGGATTAAATCTTGAATTTTGTTCATTCTCATTTTTTTTGCCAGCTTTCCATTTGATTATATTTAACTGCACTTTTTCGTGTATTTCATGTAGCTTACAACCTGTTGATGTGTCGCTACATGTGTGGTGACAGACAAGGAATGAAGAGTGCGTTTGAGAGGATGTTGCGAATAGACCTCAACCTCACCCCAGACGACCAGTACTTCAAACACGATGTAAGACCTAAACATCTTTTACAAGTCTTTTACAAGACTCTTAAAAAAACAAAATACCGCCTATGGAATTTGACTTATCCGCTGCCATATCATCTTTCTCTCTTAAAAAACTTTCTCTCTTATGAAAACCTAAGCATATTGGTTCAAACATATGCTTAGGTTTTCATACTAAGAAAGTCGTTGGCTGTGCGACAATTAGTAATAGGGGAAAATTCGTGACTAGCGACAACTCGTAAAAAGCTATTGGCAGGTAGCGATTGCCTGCTTCGCTGCGCTTGCATTTAGAACGAGAGGAATAGCGCTCGAGGATAATTGCTTGTCGCTCAATCTACTGTTACCAATTATCACATGTTATGAATTGTCGCAAATTACAAATTGTCGCTTCACGAGCAAAATTAGCAGCTATCATTATATAGTTTTGAGCTTGATTCGAATCCTTTCCAGCTGACCAAAAACGGCGGAATTTTTTTTTTTAACGCAAGCCAATGCTTGTTATGAAACGAGTTAACTTTTTTCCAACCTATTTGGCATAAATTAGTGCTTAACAAATTATTGTTCAGTTTCAATGTCTTTTTTATGTAGTATGTGATATATCCGACTATCGGTGGCTAGTTTTTTAAGAGAGAAAGATGATATGGCAGCGGATAAGTCAAATTCCATAGGCGGTATTTTGTTTTTTTAAGAGTCATTGAAATAGTGAAGACTCAAGAATAGATCATGACTTTTTTTCAGAAAAAGTTTTAAGCGTTTTCCTGAGCGTAGTGTGATAGTCAGGGTGACCAATTGGTCTGTAATTACAGACAGGTCTGTAAAGTCTGTAAAAAGTCTGTTTTTTTACATTGGTCTGTATTTTATTGCTGGGCAAAGTTTTCATTGACATTCTGCTTTAATCAGGGTTCCTACCAATGTTAAATATGTTTCAGATATGCCATGTGTCTTCTCTCAGCAGATGGAAGAAAAATACCGATGGGCTGCGGCTGTGCCTGGTCGGCTGGAACAGGCAAAGTGCTCGTTAGACGGGAAGTTGATCAGTGTGCGCAATGGTGCGATTCAGTTGGGGCAACATGAGAAGCAGAAAATCCATATCGATGCTGCAGCGGCGCTTCCTAGACAGCCTTCTATTCAAAACTCGCTGGTCTCCGCTGTTGACGACGACTCAGGGCGGTTGAGAGCCACATTTTACCACGTTGTTCGAATTGCTTTGGATGGTGGCTCGTTTCGAAGCAGTGACTGTGTGTCCCAAAAGCGTTCTTTGTATTCGGTGATGTTTCCAGATTCCCGTTTTGCCTAAATTTGTTGTGGGCGAACCAAGGCGCGGTTGCCTTTGGAAAATGTTGGAACTAATCATGAAACTACTCAACAGACTTGGCCATTCTCTCGTTCTTTCTCCAGCAGGTTATGTTTCAAATTTGTATGACACTAAAACCGGAAAGCCCCTAAGATTTCCTAACAAATCATCCGCGCTACATGTCACGGAATACGAACATGTACAAGTTGCTCTGGATCAACTATCCGAATATGATCTTAAAGCCATACAACTGCTCTGGTCACAGTACAATGAGCAACAGCTCCATCGACTTCTTGACCGATTTTCGCCGTTTCTTCTTTCTCCGATCGTTCGCAGATGCTATATTATATATGAAACGCAGAGTTCCGACAAGTATATCAGAGTTCTGGGTAACCTATGCAAGTACGTGCATTGCAACGGAGTCAAAGCATTAGATGAGCTTGCTAGTGTTCGTCTGGAACACATCACTGAAGCTTCCCTTGGCGCCATGTTTACTCAGTCTCTCCTTTCAACCTCTCCCACGCTTCGCCGTCTCGTGCATTCAATAAAAATAGTTATTCCTCATAACATGATTGTCGAAGCCGGATTTTTGAAAATGAAATTTAGCAAGGGCGTTTTTCAACCAGGAACTCGCGCTGATCTTTACGACAGTCTAAGATTTGTTTCTGATTTCTTCGACAGAGTCCTTTGAGAAATACATTCCGTCCCAAATTCTTCTGAATCAGATGTCTGCAGCAAGCCATCTTTATAAGGAATCTGAGAAGCAGCGCATGAAAGAGGAAGACAAATGGAAAGTGAAAAGCAACGAGTTGCGTCGGCAAATTGGTATTTACCAACGGAGATCGTCAAAAGTCCTCAAGCGCGAACTGTCAGAAACAGAAAAAGAATTGGCAGAAGCCGAAAAAGTCCTTCAAAATATCAAGGAGAAGAAAGAGCGACTCCAAAACGAACAAAGGGGAATTAATTCCCGATCAGATGACATTTCAGCGAAGATTGTAAACGTGATCTTGAAATAATCATTTTGTTCTTTTTTGTTGTAATTTAAACTATCATTCGAAATAAATTTTTTGTGGAATACTAGTTTTCGCTGCGTATTCAGACTAGTCTGTATTTTTTCACGCCCGAAGTGGTCACCCTGGTGATAGTGCGATGCAACTTTTTCTCCAACCTTAATCGCAAATAAAAGTGTCAGTTTTGAAATTTTGAATTCTCTTACGTTTTAGTTGATTTCATGTGTTAAAAGGAAGGCAAACTCCACTATTTAACAGCGAAAGTTGAAAAGTTGCGAAAAACGTGATTCACTTCTAGTTTCGAAATTAGAATCAATTTTTCATATTTCTCAGTGGTTTAAAACATTTACCTTTTGTTCCAGTTTTCTCAAATTGTGTTTATTTATCAAAAAAGAGCCATAGCTTAAGTTCGCCATAGCGTGAAAGAAATGCAAATCAGTTTTCTCTTCGTAAACCTGCCTAAGATTCTGCACTTTTTCGTTTAGGATTCGGTAGGTTTTCTTTTTTGTAAATTGGTTTCCGCTCGAGGCGTTAAAAAAACTAAGTTTTTGAAGGAAGGCGTCTTTTTGCAAATTTGCTATTACTTTCCAAATACTAGGGTGTGGACCACTAAAATATGATTTTGCCATAATGCCAGCCCTCACTGCATTTGTTGTTTTTGCCAAACCGGATGTTGCTGCATCTCTCTGGTTCCATAGTGAAGGGGGAATAGGACTTATTTTATTTTGCATTCTTTTAACTTTTAGTTGATTTCATTTGTTAAAATGAAGGCAAACTCCACTATACAACAGCGAAAGTTAAAAAGATTACAGAAAAAATGATTGACTTCTAGTTTCAAAATATTCATTTTTCGAAGAATATTCATTTTTCTCAGTGGTTTAAAAAGTTTACCTTTTGTTCCAGTTTTCGCAAATTGTGATATTTTATCAAAAGAGAGCCAATCATAAATTAATCTTGAAATTAAACGAGTTTTAGGGGCATGAAATGATTTTCTTTGAAGTGCTTCTTAACCCCCTCTCATATAACCCCAGAATTTGATAACCGCACCACAAATTAACCCCTTTCTAATAGCAATTTAGAATCAAAGTGAAACGTACTTGAAGCTACGGAAATCGAAGCCATAGCGTCGATAAACATCAAAGCTTTAATTGCGAGATTTTTCGCAAAGCAAAACGAAATAACGTGCAAGCTGGTATGTGCGGTTCAGATTTGAACAGAATGACCTTGCCGATAGTCTAGACTTTGATTAGATTTCTCCAAAATTGAACTTTATATTGGAACAATCTTACTAATAATAGATTAATTGGTTGACTTTAAATAAATTATGCAATGAATATTGATTGTGACCAGTAACTTTGATCGATGTAATCTATTTTTTCTTCAGATGCCAATCATTTTAAATTAAAACTGAACTAAAATTTCGAACCATCTAAACTTTGTCAATTTTTTTTGAACTGTCGACATGCAACGAAATGTCCGAAGGGTTTGCCATCCCCTAGTCCCAACCTAGAGTCTCACCAAAGGAGTGATTGCTTCGGGGATTAAAGTCCTAGAGACAGGATTTTTCAAATGTGAGTCGAGCCAATGCGATTTTTTACGTCTCCGGGAGGCTGAAAGGAGACGTCTTTTCTCAAAAAAAATGACAAACAATATTTTAATTTCAAAATATATGCAAAGAACAATTGAACAAATTTTTAGCTTAAGTTCGCCATAGCGCAAATCAGTTTTCTCTTCCTATACCTCTATAATATTCTGCACTTTTTCGTTTAGGACTCGTAAAGTTTTATGTTTTGTAAATTGGCGCCCGCTTGAGGCCTCAAAGAAACTAAATTTTTGAAGGGAGGCGTCTTTTTGCAAGTTTGCGGTTAATTTCCAATTACTTGAGTGTGAACCTTTAGAAATGACTGTATGCCATAATGCTAGCCCTCAACAGCATTTGTTGTTCTTGCCAAACCGGATGTTGTCACATCTTTGGTTCCACAATGAATGGGGGAAATAGGACTTCTCGGTTAGGGACAAGACGTAATTGAACCAGAATACAGGCAGAGTTCGTCATTTTTTCAACTTTTTCTACTTTTTTATGGTGCGATCGCATACTATTTGAATTTCCTCGACTATTTTATCGTACGAGTTTCCTGTTTCTTTTTTTTTCGAAAGGCAGTGAGGGTAAAATTTTAAGTGCTAGTGCAAGCTCGTGGTTTGTTTCGTACTCCTTTCTTAATCCGAGTTCCGCAATTTTTCATATAATTTTGAGAAAGATGAAAAAAACATCCAGACAGCTTGGACTCCGGGAAATTTTTTCAAAACGCTTGAGCGGCCTGCTCAAAACCCAGCAATTTTTTTCAGGTTTTAGGGCTTTTAAGACTTGATGGTATAATTTCTCCGTTTTATATGGTAAGAAGGCATACATGCAAGCGGGGGATATCCTTGAAAGACAAACATGTATAGAGTAAAGTTGATAAAACATTTTAGGAGTGATATTCTGAGTTTCGTCAGCCAAGCAAAAATTTGACTTTTCGAGCACACGCAGCATTTCTGGGTAGCTGAATACAATAATTTTTTCGTGATCGTTTTGTCCACTGTCAGTTTTTACAAAATTCTGAACTAGCTCCTTTATTTCGAAATTTCTGGTTGCTGGGGACACTGGTTAAACCTGTTATTGTTGCTTGCGCATGCGTTCTGCATTCAAACTAAATTCTCCTTAATTGGTAGGGCTAATTGAGTGGCAATATTGTCTGTTATGGGCTGAATTGCTGTGGCGACTGCGACGGTCGGGGTATTACTCTCGCTCAGGTCCTGGATCATTTCCAAAACTAGTCGATCATCAGATTTTCCCTTAGATATGTCGTGATTGTGCTCTCCCCTCATTTGAATAACATTTTTGCCATCCGTAGTTGCTAGTGCTCGGCATTTACGAGTCTGGTATTTCAAGCAGTTCCATTTAGTCAGTTAGTGGTTTTGTTCTTACGTTTACGATAATATTTGTGGTCTGATACCACTAATAGGTTTGACTTTTGGGGATAGTGAAATGGAAGGACGCTTCAAAAATATAGCTCCTAGAATGGTAAAACAATCGGGACTCTTCTCATGCGCGAAGGAACGAATGGGCGAAAAAACTTGTGAGACAAGGACCGAAGACAAAATTAGCCGAAAGTCAATTTTTAAAAAGAAGCAATTGCCATTCATTTAAAATGAATTAAATGAAGCAATATTTTGCTTCTTTCATAACGAAACCCTTGAAATATAAAAGTTGTCCCAATTTGGTGGCGGTCAGTTACAATTTGAAAATTTTGAATATTTCTGCTGTTTTTATTTTCGATCAATTTTCAGTCCCTGGAAATGTTCACTTTCTTTCCAAATTTTAGATTACTGAAATCTGATTGGCTGATTTTTATTTTCGCGCATTCGGTTCTTTGCGTATGAGGGATCCCACCAAAACAATTGTTCAAGTGCAAGGCACTGTGATTTCATGTACAATTTTTAAATTTCTTGTTGCTTTCAATTAGCACCATGTAGCTTATCCCTGTTTTAAACGCTTGAAAGAGGGATTATTTCTCTGACTAATCGCAATGCAATTATTTTCGAGATGCTAGAGGCATCAAATGAATTAAGACTGGCTTTTTAGGCCTCAATTAGTACTAATAATTGGAAACTCCGTTACTTATAAAAAAAGGACTTATTTTGAAAGAAATTATCGGTTTTAAAAAGGGGTTAAATTGTTTTGGGGTTATCTTGTTACGGGGTTATAAAGTTGGGGGTGTAAAGATTGGGGGCTAAATAACGTGGGGTTTAAGAGTGGGACATTTTTTAAGTTTGCTTGGGCTCATTGGCTTTGCTCCAACTGTCTGTTGCCAATGTTCTAATTTATTATTTTCTTGAATTTCAAAGCTTACCGTTTGCCAATTTTTTGCTTTCAGTTACGAATTGCAGTTAAACATTTTTGTGCGTTAATCACAGTGGTAGGAGCATTTTATTCACAGCAACCAGTTTTATACACAGCAATCAGTTATATTCGCTTTCTTCAATTGTAGTGACTTGCAACTTATGTGGTTTTTTTTCAGAAGACAGATACTAAATGGAATGAGTTGGTGGATGCGATCAAAGGAGACAGACTGTACCACTACGAGAAGAGCAAAAGAGACAAGGCTGACCAGTTGGTGGTCAGATCCGCCAAGCTCATAGCCCCCTGCATCGAGCCAGAGTTCTCACAAGGCGAGTGATTAAACGCCAATGATTCTTTCTGGCAAAAAGTCCTCATGATTATTTAAAGTTTAATCGTGTGGATTCTTTTTGTTTGGAAATCTGTTTTTGTCAAATTTGTTGAACCTTCTGATTATCAAGTGAATCAGTTTCAGAGATAAGCTCCATAATTTGATTAATTAATTGATCGAAAAACAATCATGTAAGTCATTTTGAGTCAAAAATCAAAATGGCTGACCTAAAAAGCTTCAGTCAATATAATTCTTCGAAACATCGCCCCCTTCCGCCATCATAAAATTCCTAAGTATGCCACTTCTCATAGTTTATTTTGTTGCAGGATTCGACTGGGTTGCTGATCAAATGAAAACAGCAGAACAGTACAAACATCTCTACAACGAGATCCAGATTAGCAAAGCCATCTCATATGTGAAGATGAAGAAGTTCAACGAGGCCATTGACACCCTGAAGGAGTTTGCCAAGAAGGGCTCTGACATCGCGGGAAGTGCCTCGACTAACTTGGCAGCCATCTTCTTCCTCCAAAATGACCTTCAACAGGCACAGAAGTATGCCACAATTGCAGTCGAGTTGGACCCATACAATGCTCAAGGTATGCAAACAGGAGTCCCGTTTAAAAGTTACTTCGAATTAAATTTGGGATGAGAGTTTATGTTTAACTTAAAGAATCACCACTTATTTTTTGCCTTCTTTCGGTATGAAAGTTTAAATGGAGAGCAATGGTTAGCATCATTTTAGTTTCTGTGTCTTTGGATTTGTTTTGATTATATCAAGTTGAGGTTAGTAGGATTGATTCTTTATATAACTAGTTTTTTTAGCCTTCAATAACAAGGGCTGTGTGTTGTACAAAGAGGGTCAGTTTTCTCAGGCTTACCAATTCTTCAGTCAGGCATGCAAGAATGACGCCACGTGCATAGAGGCACTCTACAATATGGGTTAGTACACTTAATTCAGATGTACACTAGTTAACAAGCAGTTTTTAATTTTCAATCTCGTTATATTTTTTACAGGAAACAGTGAAGGTTTTTTTTCTGAAGTTCATTTTTCATTAATTGTATTTTGATGCGCTTTTTTGGTGGCCGGGTCTTTAAAGCCCGCGTTTCAATTAACTGAGTTATCCATGTTTTTTCCAGTTTTTGATGAGGTCAACAGAGATTAGTTGAAAGGTGCTTAAACTGATAATTGTTTTCAATATTTTAATATCGTAGTTTTATGTTTTGTCTGTTTCTTTGAGAAGGTCTAAACTTATGATTTTTTCGTTGTTTTAAGTTTTCATCTGTCTTCACTCTGTACAGGTCTGGCGGCGAAGAGCCAGGGTCATTTGGAGGAGGCAAAGGACAGACTGGAGCAGCTGCACTCCATCCTGAGGACAAATGCGGAGGTGGAGTACCAGCTGGCGGAGATCTACGAGAGTATGGGCGACACAGACATGGCCAAGCACTGGTGAGGAAAAAAAAACACAACGTTCCACTCGATGCAATCTTGTCATGTTATTGGAATTTTGTTGCCATGTCATTTAAGCACGTGTCTTTTAATCAGGAACTGGAATTTTTTTCCCGTGAACAACTTTTCTTACATATTCTTCTCTTCTATTCACTTATACGCTTGCGATTAGCAATCGTTATCAAATCGGAATAAAGTCTTTTTTCTAGTTAACAATTAGTCTAACAAAATCAGTTGAATCAATTATGCTGACACGCTCAATTTCGAGAAAATTCAAATTTAACTACCGGGTACTACTCAAATTTTTGATGTATAATTATAGAGTTGTTGATGTATAATTATAGAGTTATGTTGATGATTTTTCGGCTGCATGGTTGTCGACTTAAGCTCGGTCGGTTTGGTTTCCAAATTATCTAGTTCCTGTTTGATAAAAACAGGTATTATAAAAATGTATGGATTCAGGTTTTTTTGAGATTCCTCCCCCTCCCCTGTATGCCTGCATAATCCCCTAGTCTGTTATCACCTTTACTTCACTTTCTACAGACTTCGAAAAATTGTGTGGGGGGAGTTTTTCACCAATATATTTTTTACACTTTCTCAAAAACTGCTCTCCCAAATTTAAGATTTTGGATTCAATAGAGAGAGAGAGAGCGAGTCGCGAGAAGCTCCGCTGCATTAGCGTCTACACCCGATTATGACCCTCAGAAAAGTCAAAATTTCAATTTTTTAAACCGTTTTTTGAAACTTTTTGATTTTTCTTAAAAACTACTCTCCGAAATCTCAAGATTTTGGGTTCAATGAATGGAGCAGGTTGTTGAAACTCCCTTGCATAAGCGGCTACTCCCAAAGTTTTTAATACGAAAATTAATGGCCCTCGGAACTTTCAAAACTTTGATTTTTAAATGTTTTTTCAAACTTTTTGTTTTTTATCGGGAACTACCCTCCTAAAGTTTTTGATTTCAATCGAAAGGACGAGTTGTGGGAAGCTCACATGCTTGAGCAGCTCTATCAAAATTTTTAAACGAAAAGTTATCGCCTTACGAAAAGCGAAAATTGTGATTTTTAAACATTTTTGAAACTTTTTTTTTACTTTTCTCAAAAACTTCCTTCCCAAATCTGAGATTTACGGGTCGATGGAGAGAACGAGTCGCGGGAAGCTCCCCTGCATTAGAAGCTACGCCTAAAGGTTTTAAGACCACATTTTAAGAATTGTTATTTCAGTAATTTTCAAAAGTAATTTTTTTTTTGGCCTATTTTTTTTAGTTGAAAATAAGCCATCAACTTGTGAATTGTGCAGTTTTTGCTTGTTTCGGTTTCTTATATTGACAGTTTTTGTATATTACGTATTCTTAGATAATATCAAACAGTTTTTTCCAGCTTCAGCTGGTCTCTAATATACTTTGCAAACGCTACTGATATATCTATCGTAGTATGTTTTTTTGACTGAAGTTTCAACTTATTGGATGTCGGCTTATTTACCGATTTTTTTCTTAAAGTGTAGTACGTCTCTGAAATCAATTTTTCACGGCCTAAATCCAACCCCACTATGACCTCTTTGAAAATTTAAAATAAATTGAGACGCCAAAAAAATGCTTTTTTGTTTTTTAATTTTTTCATCGTTTTTCCACTTACCTTGTTTGAAGTTCTGTTTACTAATTATTTTAGCATCATGGTGCATTCATCTTATATTTTTTGTATCGCAAGTATTGCGAAGCTCAGCTTCGTGTCTAAGTTTTCTTCTCTTCTTTTATTTTTTTTTTTTTAGGTTTTTTTTGGCCTGGACGTAATACGGTTGCCTTTCTGCCTTAAGCCGAGGAGTTCGAATCCTGACCAGACCTTTTTTTCAGCATCACTGAAATTGAAAAAAAAACGAGAAAAGTTGAATTGTCGGACTTTGTTTGTCTGCTCAAGTTATGTTGGCTAAGTTGCCCCACATAATGGAGTTTGCGGGTGGTCTAAGCAATTTTCATTGCAGTTGCAAGTGTTGTTCATTCTACTTTCAAGGGGTACTTGAATGATTAAAAAAAATCAAAAATTGCTCAAAGATTGTCGACTTAGTTGTCACACCAATGATTGTTTTTGTGCTGTAATCAACTATCATCGTAGTTGCAAATGCAATTGTTGCTCATTGCAGTTTCAGTTGAGACTTTTTATAAAGTCAATTTTTTTGGATCAAAGATTGTTGGCTTTGTTTCCACTTGTAAATGTTGTTCCGTTGTTAGTTTAATTCTTAAATGTCTGGCATGTTTGCCTAAAATTAACTTCTATCGAGACATACGAAAATATGATTTTTGGTAGACCTAGTTTTTTTCAACTTATTATTATTTTTTTTTTTATAATTTATGAAATCTTTCCGTCATCTTCCCGTCTTTAAATTATATGCTCTTCACGAACGAAATTGGTCCTTGACTCTATGAGTTATTTAAACAATCTTAATATGGAAATTCTGCCTCTCGGTTATACCTCTCTCCCCTCCCACTCAAATTTGTTGCCAATGCGTGTTTCTCAAATTTACGTCTAGTTACCTAGTTATCCTTGCGATAAGCAAGGGTATTGCAGTTGGATAATAGAGTTTTTTCCCGTAAATATTTTGTTCACCGGGACTCATGTTGACGCATATACCGTATTTTATAATTAGTTATAACACATTAAGCCTGGAGGTAACGAATACGCCTAGGACGACGGCAAAGGTCCTGAGCTCGAATCTGATCAGGTCCTGTTTTTTTTTTTTCAAACGGGAAATATTATATTTCGAAAAAAAATTTCGTCTTATTAAATATCTGCTTGAATTTTGTCAGCTTAGTTGCCACATCTTAGCTTGTAGTTCGAATCCGGTCGGGACATGTTTTTTTTAAAGTTGAGTTTTTGTGCTTTTTCGAATTATCGTCCGTCTGTTTATTTTTATCAGCTTATTTTTGTCGACTTAGCTCCCGTAGCCCAATTTTTTGGAAGGTTCAGTTTTCTTTCAAGTTGCTTTAACATCCATGCTTGACGACAAAGCCCGATAGTTCGATTCTAGTTGATACCTGTTTTTTTTTAGCTAAATGAAAATTTTCGGCTAGTTTAGATAATTTGTCCGCTTATTTTAATCGGCTAGTTTTGCTGTTTTTTTAAATTCGGCCTTGTAGCATTCCGAAAGCACCTTGGAAAGTTTCTAATGGTGCAGATAATTTTGTTCCAGATTTTTTTGGGCTTTTATTGCAATTTGAGTAAGTTATATTGACAAACGATTTTTTGAAGATTTTGTATAATTTTTGTTTCATTTGATTTTAATCATAGTCATTCTTTTTTGTAGCCCAAAGTGGTACCAAGTTCAGCTTTGCATCTGGGTTGACATTGTCTTTAACGAGGTGTACAGAGCTGATTTAAATAATCCGTAGAATTTGATGAAACCTGAAAATTAAGACTGTGTGTTTGTAGGCTGGAGATGGTGGCGGTCACTTCTGGCAGACATGATCCAGGCATCTGTGTGGCATTGGGGAACATTCTAGAGGAGGAGGACGAAAACGAAGCCTTCAAGATGTACAATGACGTAAGCACCGTCAAACTTATAAGCACCTCATTAAATGTCAATGAACGTAGTGAAAGCACTTATATATGTCGTGATGATTTTTCCCACTCTTTTAGGGTCACATGTTTTCGTGTCATATTTGAAGAAGTATGGTTTCACATGTATTTTTGAACCGTTTTTGAATTTTCGACTTTTCTCACAAACTACTTTAAAACTGAGACTCTGGGCTCAATCGACATAACAGGTTGTGTGAAGTTCTTCTGACCTCCGAAAAAAATATATTTATTTAGATTTTTGTTGACCTTGCTTTGCTTTTCTCGATAATTGTTCTAGAGTTCAATCAAAACAGGTTACTGGAAGCCTCCTTGCACAAACGGCTACGCCTGATTTTTTAAGTGAAAAGTTATAAAAAATAAAATTGTTGAAATTTTGGTCGTTTTTTGAAAGTCAATTTTTTTTTTGAAAATTATTCTGCCAGATCTTAAGTAAGTGCTTAATCGAGAAACCCGATCTTGATAGTTTTCTCTTCCTAAGCAGCCACGACCTAGTTTTTGCACTAAAAAGTTATGGCTTTGGAAGTTTTGACACTTTTTTCATTTTTTTATATCTTTTTTCATAAAAACTATCCTATCAAATCTAAGATAGAAGGTTCAATCGAAAGAAAAGGTTGCTAGAATTTTTCTGGTAGAAGCGTTGACTTTTGAATATTTTGTAAGACAAATTTGTTTGGAAAAATCCAATTTTTTAAAGAGTTTCGCTCTTCTCACTTATTTTAAGAAAAAACTCAGCTGCGGTTTTAGGGAAAGCAATATTTTTGAAATTATTCATTTCATCCCACATCAGTAAAACGAACTGAAAAAAACTATCAAACGGGTAACTCCAGTTTTAGCTGGAACCTTAGTGTTTTGCTCGATTTGTTCACACGTTTCAAAACAGATGAGCAACCGCTTATTTCGCATCTCGAAATGTATTCACATCTTGGCACTGCGTGTCTCGATTTGTTCAAAAATCCAATATGTAACTGTGGCTTGTCTACTACAAGCATTAAAGTTTGTTCGCGCTCTATTGTGGCTTGATTTTTTTCTAATTTAGCTCATTTTTGCAAAAGGATGGCAAACTCCACTATCGAAAGGGACCTTTACACAGCCAGTGTAAAAGTCACGAAAAGTCTGACCGAAATTTAGCTTCAAAAATGGATTTTCTTTGTGCTCTGGGAAAGATGGTTTTTGGAGCTTTATTTAAAGCTTCCTGGGCTTTAAAAAATTTCTGAATTTGATTTTAATTTTTTTGTAGGTTTTTCGTTTTTGGATTTAACTCGACGAAAGTTGTGTCCGAAAAATGAATAACTTACAAAAATCAAATTCAGAAACTTTGTTTTTGCCTTACTTTAATGTTCTACAAATTCGTATATTTCTCTCATAATACCACTTACAGAAACGCCACTACTTAGAGTAAAATTATTCCGAGCTTTATGTGGTCGGAAAATTCTGTTACTTGCACAGCAACCGCCTTTCCTTGTTAGTTTCCTTGCAAGTTTCTTGTTATTGGGAACTAGACTTCTTTCCCGCTAACAACTTTTTCTTACAAATCTGGAAGAAGTTGAACTTGCTTTATAATGGAACTTTAACAACTTAGAGGTTGCTTCCTACTTGGCCTAGAGGTAACACAGCAACCCTAAAGTCGGGGTTCGAGTATCGAACTGACCTTGTCTTTTTTCAGTATGTATGATTTGAAAATTTATTCGGTAAAAATTGAATTGTCGGATTATCGTTTGTCGGCGTAGTTGCCGCATTGCGGATTTTCCGGTTCTGTAAGTAAGTTTCATTGTTGTTACAATTGTTTCTTCTTGTACTTTCAGGGGGGACTTAAAACAGTTTGAAGTTTTTTTTTATAAAATCAATTTTTGTGGGCTCAAGTAGTGTTAACTCAGCTTTTGTCCCGTTGCTAATTTAATATTCAATGTTTTGCGTGCGATGTTTCCCTATAACGAATTTTAACCAAGACACGAAAGTTTTGGTAGACTTAGGTTTTTTCAAAGTTTTTTAGTTTTTTTTCGACTTTTTTGGTGTTTGTTGTATCGCAAGTGGTGTGAAGCTCCACATGGCCTCTGGTTTACGCTTGTGATATCTAAGCTTTTTCAAAAAGTCCGTTTCAATGTTAATTTGACGGTGTTTTTATTTCCAGAAAAAGTTCTGTTCGTTGATTAACTAAGCGACTAGCAGCAGATGGATTAGTGGATAGACGGGCTCATAGTCTTAGAAACTTCTATTGTTTGATTTTGCGTTGTGTTGTAGGCGTTCAAGGCGCTCCCGTCCAGCAGTGGGATCATAAAGTGGCTGGGCTCATACTACATAAAGATGCAGGTGTACGAGAAGGCCATCATGTACTTTGAGAAGGCTGCAGTCGCCCAGTGAGTGTCTTTATAAAGCTCTTTTCTGCTGGTTCTATTCAAGAAAACTTTCATGCCTGTATTATATCAGTATTGCGATTTATTTCTGTACTAAGTTTGCGTTAAAAAGTTAACAAAACTTACATTTTTTTTGTTTTTGTTTTATTATAAATTGAATTAGCCGAATTAAAATACTTCAAATTGAATTCCTAAATCTTGATTTTTTGAGATTAATTGTTCATTTCTAGGAACTCGAGATAGGGGAAATACTTAGACATCAAGTTATTAATTTTGAAAGTTCGCAGCTTTGGAAATGTATCTTTCATTGCTTAGGTTTTCAAACTTGAGTATTATGACCGCATTATATGTGATGTAACGAGTTTGTTGTCAGGCCGGCGAATGTGACCTGGCCTCACCACATAGCCAAGTGCTACAGACGAATAGGCAACTACCACAGGGCATTCGAGACATACAAGCTCATCCACAGACGATTCCCTGACAACATCGAATGTGAGTAGAGATCCTCGACATTTCTATATGAGCACTCGCTCATTTTGATTTTTATTTGGGTAAGTTTTTGAAATTTTTCAACGGTCTGTGAACGCATGCAGTGAAGAGGTTTTAATCGGTCGTGATCATTTTTTCGCTTTTTTTTTCGCAGGATTTTGTTCACGCCGTGGTCTAACTTTGAGTTCTTTTCAAGTTCATTTCAATTTTAGTTGCCTAACGGAAGGTCTTTTGCTCTTTCCAATTAATACAGCGGAAATGGCGCAAAATTTGTAGTTTCGTAAGTGGACTCTAATTTTAAGATTTTGTAGCGAAATAGAAAACTAAAGGGTTGATCCACTTTTCTCAAATTGGGTCAATTTCATCAAGAAAATGTCAATCATAAATTTTTCTTGAATTTCAAAGAGACTTCAGGCCCCCTTTTTTTGTTTTTTTTTGTGTGTGTTCATTGACGCTTTTTCAGCTAATTGTTGGCCATGTTTATACTCTTTTAAAGCCAATTTCTGAACAATTTACAAGAATAACTGAATTACTATAGTAATTGGCTTTGTATTGAGTTAGATCATTTAGTGAGGTCAACAATTTAATTGAGGTCAAATCTTTCACTGCATTTTTGTATCAAATATAGTCATTTAATGCTTAAAAAGTGAAAAAATATATTGCCCATATTTACTGATATTTTTGCTGTAGCGTATGTTTACGTTAAGTTTAGAGCAATTTTTTTTTCTCAAATTTGAATGCTCATTGACCATTTTAGGTTTGATATATTTGAATTTCTTTTTAATTAAAATTCAAACGCTAAAAGGATGGTGAATTCCTCTCTCTAATAACGAAATTGCAATTGGCTCGAAAAAGCGTGATTATGCACGCGATATGCAAGCGTTATCAAATCGGAATATTGGCTTTCTTCAGGTAAATAACTTTTTGAACTAAATCACTTCAGATAAAATTGAGGCGTTAATCCGCATACGGGGAGAGATAACGAATCGAGAACAGAAAACTCTCTATGTCCAACTATCTTTATTAGACTTCAGTTTGTCTTCTTATTTTTTGTCGGCTTAGTTGCCACAACCTTGAATATTTTTGAATAAAGCGTTTTTTACTTTAATTTAAAATAATTTCAAAGCTTTCAGCCTATTTGCAAGTAATTACTCAATTTTTTGTTGATATTTCATATTTAAAACTGTTTTTGGAATTTTTTTGTTCGTTTTTTATTCAGTCTTCGCATTCTTGTTTTATTCAGAAAAAAAAGCAATAAATGAGGCTCTCTCTCAAACTGTGGACCTGATATGATCTCGTATATCTAAATCAATCTTGTAATCTATCAGTTTATATTTATTTGCTCTGACTGAGTTTTGTGTTGCAGGCCTCGAATGTCTGGTGCAGCTGTCGAACGACCTTGGCCTGAAGAAGGAGCACGAGGAGTACTCCAAACAGCTGAAGAAGGCACACAAGTCCATAGAGATCAAGGAACAGGTCAGACCATCTACCGTCCTTGCACTTTGAGAACAATTTGGGATCTTTTCTTATCTTCTTGCTCACATTTGACTTTCAAAGTTGAATGAGATAGCGAATTTTTTGTTTCTCATAACCTTATGACCGAAAAGCCTGGAAGTAAAAAAAATAATACAAAATGAGTATATTCTTTTTCTATACAGAATTTTGTGAAAAGGGTGTTTATTTAGTATGATTCTGATATTTAAACGTGTATAAAAGTCAAAAAGAACGAATTATTGTTTTCATTGTATTTGTTAATTAACTGACGACGTTTTGAACTTTCTTTTTCTTCAGATTGGCAAACATTCCGTATACATTAAGAAATAAGTTGCCGAGCTTTCGATTGTTTTGAACGAGTTTTCGACGAAGCGAGATGAAGCTGGATTCTAGTTTTTTCAAGGAGTATAGTTTTTAAATTTTTGCTGCTCATGTGTTGATCACAATGCCGATCGAAGCCCGTTTTTTTACTTGAAATAAATTTTTGATAAATCGGCGATATATACATTAGTAAGAACTTCTGAGAGTGACTCATGGACAATTGAACAGATACAAGTGGTTCAATATTGCAGGTTATGTTTCTCTTAAAAGAGTTTGGCGTAGTCCGTTAGACAGAAAAAACTAAGCCTGAGGTCCAATTTTCGCATAGACATCACGATTTTTACACGGATTAGCCGAGACGGTTTTTCAGTATGATTTTCGGCTAGTAGATTACATTCCGACTAGCCGAAAATTAATATTGTTATGCAGCATAACATACAGATTGTCATTGTTGTTATGCAATAGTTACGTAATTAGGATGTAATTTACGTTATTCTGATGCAATTTCGGCGTCAGATATGGCGGTTTGTTTAACATCCGCAGTTTTCAAGTTGTGCTGTTTTGTTGTGTAGAGAATAGCGAGTGGCAGTAGCAGACGAGGAAGTGGAGTGGGCATGCATGGCATGAACAGCACAGCTCCTGCGGGTGGATCTGCGGCTGCCGGAAGAATGCTGGCGGACAACAACACCAGCTTCGGACTCAGCGACGGCACGCCCTCTCGCGAGGGAAGCGGAGGCAGTGGACGCAATATCCCCAGGTTACCATCAATACCATCAATTTTTACCCCCACTCATTTTAATACTTAATGAACAGGATGAGTTTTCACTGTTTTTAAATCGTTTTCGTTTTTTCAGGAAATCTTGAAATTTGTAATACAATTTTCAGAAATTTTGTTAAATCGTTGATTGTTTTGGAGTTTCTGTAAAGGTACCTAAAAGGTATCCAGAACTGGTTTTCACGTTTTTTTTTTTTTCGTAAATCAATCGGAAGCTTCAATCGATTAGGTTTTAAGAAAATTGTAGACTTAAAACGAGCTCACCTGACTTTCTGGGTATGTAACCTGGGTATCCAAAGAGGCAGAATTTAGAGCCAAATAAACTAGTCTTTATTCCTTAAAAGTAGACACGAAACTAAGAAGCATGCGTTTTTTGTCTATAGTTATAATTTGTTTCAGCTAGAGAGCGTAATGTTTTAATATGAAGTCCAATTTTTTCAACTCAACTCGCAAATAAAAGTACTTGAGGCTAATGTTTCACGATTATCTAGAGACCATGATGCAGATGCAAGCATATGAGACTCTTAACCTCCAGTTTGGGAGGTTTGACTCCGGTATATATCAAAAGTTGTATTTTAAGTATTGGCAATTATGTTCCATCTTTTGTATCTGCTATACTTGCGGCTAGTGTTCGACAATTGTTAAGCGAACATGGCACAGATGCGACGACGCGAGACTCTCACTCTCAATGATGGGTTTCGGGTGGGTCTTGTGTAAATAGGTAAAACAAGAAAGAAAAATGAAATTTTCAACTTGCTCCGGAATCGAAACCCCATCCTGGGGTGACGACGCGAGACTCTTACTCTCCAGGATGGGGTTTCGATCCCGGAGCAAGTTGAAAGTTTCATTTTTCTTACTTGTTTTCCCTATTTACACAAGCGAAGCATAGTGTATTATTACGGAAAAAATTTCTAACCTAATTCGAAAATAAAAATGCTCAATTAGTGGCATTTTTGGTATATTTCAGTTTGATAATATTTGAGCCTATTTAAGCATACGCAATTTAAAAGCATATATTGCTGCTAAAATTTTGGCGAGTGTTAGGTCCTGTTTGAAAAGAAACAGGTATGAAAATGTATGGGTTTTGTTTTTTTGTTGTTTTTTGCCACCCTTTGAAAAATTTTTTGCATTTTTCGCAGAAATTTGAATTTTTCAAAAACTACTGAGCCAGTTTTCAAAAAAAAGGCACCAATAGAAAAACCGGCCGCTCTTCTATGTGCCTGCATATTTTGCAGGTATCTTTTCATTTTACTAGAGTTTCAACGGCCTTCGAAAGTTTCAGTAGATATTTTTGACCTAATTGTTTCAAATTTTTTCATTTTCTCAAATATTAAATGCAGAAATCAAAGACGAGGATTTCAATCAAAAGAACAAATTATGGGGATCTCTCTTTCTCAAGCGGTTATTCACTAAATTTGGATTAAAAAAAGTTATGGCCTCAAATGAGCTTTTTTTGACATCTTGTTAATTTTTAAAATTTTTGTCTTTTCTCAAAAACTACCCTGCTACATCGGAGATAAAGTATTCAACCGATATAAAAACAAGCAGTTTTGCTTGTCTTCTCATTGAAACTATTATGGTGCTTAGATTTTCCCTGCGCAATCTGTTTATCCCTATTTATTTGTAGAAAAGCTGATATGGACTTCGGAAAAATCCATTTTTTGATATTTTTATCGTTCTAAAGAAATTTTATCACTATTCTCGAAAACTACTAGCAAAATCTGATATCAGTTGTTCAATCTCAAGATCAGGGCGTGGACGTCATCCCTGCATAATGCATAAGAGGCTATTCCCATGCTTTAGTAGATAAATTTTGATGGGTATAGGAAAAGTCAAACTTTTGAATTTTTGATCCTTTTGGAATCTTTTTACTTTTTTCGAAAACTACCCAGCCAAATTCGAGATGAAGACTTCAATTGAAAGAGCGGGTAGTAGTTTTCCCTTTTAAATAATCGGCTCATCTCCTACTTAAGCAGATAAATCTCTGGGTTTTGCGTCAAGTCCATGTTTTTGAAAATTACGAATTTCCGTATCAGTACAATATTTGATTATAAATATTAAAACAAGTGTATACAGCATTAGCTGCGCCTCTAGTTTACTTCTAAATGACCGTGGAGCAAATATGAGTACGGGAGACTCCTAGTTAACTGGTCGGAGATTCAAATCCGTAACATTGATAAAATTTTGGTCGCATTTTTGCTGCGTAGCATTGGCAATTTGATACAAGCAGTAGCTGCTTTATTGGTTACTAGTGTTAAAAAAGCTAAAAGCGGTCGTGGAGCAGATGTGAGAACGTGATATTCCTAGTCTCCCCAAAAAAGTTCTCAATGTGTATTTTTTGATCTTTTCCTGATTTCACTTTGTTTTGACTGTTTGGAGCTCTTTTTTGCATTTTCCTCGCTTGTGTTTGCAACGTGCAGCTTCGTCTCTGTGTTCAATTTGACTATTCTGTATTGTTTTTAGGAGCCACAAGAGAGGTGGACTGGCATCCACGCTTCCCCCCAGTGGGGCTGGCTCCTTCGAAGACCCGGCTCTTGCCAGATTAGGCAGTGCCGGTAGCACTCGGGGGGCACTCCCAGGGTCCGAGCTCAGTGTGCACGATGCAGACGCCAGGATTAACTACCAGGAGCGTCCAAAGACAGCGGCCAAAAAGCCGATGAAACAGCAAGACGAATTTGCAGATGAGGAATTGGGAGATGATTTGCTGCCCGAATAGACTTATTTACTGGGTTCATTAATAAGTGAGTTATTTTCAAATTGTGAATGGTAATAATGAAAATGCAATGATATCACCTTTGTGTAGATTTTGTAAAATCCATGTAATTAGCCATGTTTTGCCTGTAGTGAACCTGTAAATAGTGTTAAATATGTGTAAACTAATTAAAAGTACAATTCAACTTTCTTTCTCCGGGTTCATGATTGGCGGTTTTCTATGCGCTAACGATATATTGTTCTCATGCGTTGAAAGTTTGCCATTTCAGTCTTTCAAAAGTCTGAACGCTTTAAAAATCAATTCCTTTTAAGGTCTTGATGATTTTTTTGAATTTCTTTTCAGTAAAAATGCCGTTAACTACAGAAGTTCACTCATGCATATAAATGCATTTTTGATTGCCCCTAAGTATGTATGTACTTTTTGAGTTATATTCCAGCTTGAGTTATCTGCTAAAAGTTGAGTGAATAGCGTTCTTCTTAAATGCTTGGGCGTTCTCATCATTTTAGAGTGTAGTATCTGATATTTGTTAAGATGCAGGTAATTGAGTTTCAAGATACGAACAGAATGTAGTGAAGACTTATATAGGTCTTGGTGATTTTTTTTAAAATTTGTTTTTAAAAAAAATCTTGAAATGTTTTATTAATTACAGATTTGCCTTCATACAAATTGATACGTTTATGAATGCACAGGTAGATATGCACTTTTGTATAAATGCATTTTTTGAGTTCAAATGAAATGCATCTGATAAAATTTAATAAAATGCGCTCTCAACGTGAAATACGAACCTTAAAATTGTTGGCAAAAAAATTCAACGAGTTTCCAGCGCAAGATAAATTTTAGCTATTGATCCATTTATCTGAAATTGGGTCAATTGTATCAAAAAGATGCAATCTTGAATTGTTTAAAAATTCAAGAGCTTCTAGGTCATATATTTTTTCCTTGAAAAAGTGAAATTAAAAATTTTTACGTGCGTTCATGGACCTGCTTTCAACTGTCTGTTGACTGTTTTCAAAAAAGGGGCAATTTTGAACTTGGTTTGTAATTCAAACAGCAGTAAGGCCAAATATTTTTGTTTTAAAAATCAAAGTTTGATGCTTTCTTTGAAAAAAGTCAATTTTTTTTTCATTTCATTGCATTCATTGACTCTTTTCAGCTGTCTGTTATGTTTTTGTCTCATAAAAACAGGTTTTATTTAAAAAAAAGGGAACGGGTTTTTTTTAGTTTTTTGGGACGCTTTCAAATTTTTTTCACTTTTTAAAAAATTAGTTTTTCTCGAAAACTAACCTACCGATTTTCAATAAAGAGGTAGCAATGTGGCGTCCGCCCACTACCCTGTAGGCCTGGGTAAATCCCTGGCCTCTCTTTACATTACCCAACTTCCTACAGCCTTCGAAAAAGCGTGTGGAGCGAATTTAAGACCCATATTTTTTGTTTTATTAAAACATTTTTTTCAGAAAACAACCTAAATCTGAAATTTTGGGTTTAATGGAGAGAAAAATTTGTGAAAACTTCCTCTGGATATGCGGTTTTGACCAAAGTGATTTGAGAAAATCAAACTTTGGATTGTTTGACCGTTTTTTGAAAATTTTTGAGTCAATTTTTTGAAATTTTGAGTCAAATGTTTTGATACTATACTTTCAAGTCTGCAGTTTTGGTTCAAAAATTAGAAGAATTTACGGGAAGTTCACCTTTATAATCAATTACTCTCAATATGACCTTTATAGTAAATTACTTTTTACTAACATGTATGGCCTTCAGAATAGTCATATTTTTGATTTTTTGGACGTTTTTTTTTCTGTTTTTTTTTCAAAAACGACCCTCTCAAAATTGAGATTTTGGTTTAAATCAAAATAAAGTTTTAAGCAAAGCTCTCCGGTGAAAGCCCTCACGTCCAAGTTTTCTAAGAAAAAAGTTATGGCCTTCAGAAATGTCCATGTTTTGATTTCTTGTCCGTTTTTTGAAACTTTTTGACTCTATCACAAACATTTTTACTCATAGTTTAATAAAATAACAATATTTTAATAAAGCTCCCCTGTGTAAGCCCTCACGTCAAAATTTTATAAGAAAAAAGTTATGGCCTTCAGAAATGTCCATGTTTTGATTTCTTGTCCGTTTTTTGAAACTTTTTGACTCTATCACAAACATTTTCACTCATATTTTAATAAAGTAACAATTAGGGAAGGTTCTGGATGAAGTCCAATTTTTGATTTTTTGAAATTACCAATTTCAATGCGCATCAGTATAACCAAGTCAAAAATTATCAAACAGGTACTTCCAGCTTTAGCTGAGCCTCTAGGATGTTTTTATTTTATAATATTTTCTTTGCTATAAAAAATCTTGTGCACTAAAGATTTCACTTTGCTATTTTGTTGCTTTATTCACCTCAAAATCGATCGTTAAAATAGCGGAATTATTTAAGATGCAATTGTAGACTTTTTTTCATAACACAAAACTTTCCAGTAAATTTTTGGCTCGATGGACGTCTATCCATAATTTGTCCGCTGAGTAATGTTTGATAAATTTTGGTTTACCTCTTTTAACACTGGGCATAACCTTTTCCGCACATTGAACACAATTGAAGACATACGTATATAGGTGTGGTGATTTCGATTTTTGTCAGATAGCTTTTAACGTCTTGGTGGCTTCCGTCTCGTTTTCTGCGCGCTTGCTTGCAATGTCAAGTTTTTGATTGAGCGCAAAAATCAAAAACCTTAAACTTTTTCTGTAGGCGCCTTTGTCGCCAATATAACATAAACTGAGGGCGAAGCGCGCACCGGAAAAATCCATTTTTTTGTCAAAATATTTCAAAAAGTGCCCAAAAACGCTGTTTTTTTGGCGAGTTTTTTTTTAAATTTTTCCTGCAGCGCAGAAAATGTATGACAAAATAGGTTCCTTAGAGTATTGTCGGAGAGCTCCGAAAATCAAGTTGGTCGACCTAAAAAAGGGTCCGCAAAATTTTCAAAACTTTTCGAAAAACCGCCTCCCTAGAAAAATTTCTGTGTACGCCACTGGTTAGTGATTAAGTTTTTTTCGGAAAGCTTCTGTTTTAATGCATGTGGGCTCAAGTATTTACTGGTACTGCGTTTCAGTTTTTCTTCTGATGAAAGTTCGAAACTCAATGATCTCAATTGGCATGTTCTCAGAGAGGAGACAAACCGAGGAATTTATTTCAGACTTAAGTGGATCTAGGCTTCTTTGACTCGTTTTTGCAATTTTTTTCGACTTTCATCTTAGTTCCATCTAGTTTGCCTTTTGTCTTATTTTATCATAGACCCTTCTAGTTTGCCATCATGTTTTTATGTCGTATCTGTGGTGCAGTTATTTGCTTCGAAAAATTCTTCAAATTATGAAAAATTGATTTTTAGTTAAAGGACGTTTTCCATCCACCCATCTGATACCGAAGTTCAAAGTAACAAATAATGATAGCAGCATTTTTCAATCAACTGTCAAATTTAAAATAAAACAATCGAAGTCGCCTGAAATTTTTTTAAGCTCTTCACACTGAAGATTCTTTACGAGTATCAAGAAGCGCCCAAATTTTTTCAATTAAAAAAGATTTTTTGCCAAAAATTCTTAAACAAAAAGTTGTGTGTGTGACCGAAAAAAAAAGCTCAATTTTGATGGTTATTTTCTTACACTAATATTAAAGAATCAATTATGATCAACTCGAGAAACTCACAAATATCAATTTGATTGATTGGCTCTATTAATCTCGGAAACAAAAAGACAATGTGGGAAACCGCGAAATAAAGTCATGGGCTCATGTGCTGTTTTCTAAGATTTCGCGGTATCCCAAAAATGACTCGTAGAGACATCATCAATTGCATTTGATGCCGAGCTTAGTTGTGCAGCTTTTCAGTTGTGATTTCATTTTCCTAAAGATACTTAAAACCTTATGTGTCTGAAAAACTGCTATAGGTATTTCACTTTCCGGGCCAACACTGCTCAAATTATGGAGTCTATCTAAATTTTGGAAATTAATTGCAACAAATGTCTAGGGTTAAATTTATTGCAAAAAAACCTACAGTTTTTTTTATTGAATTTAAATATCCTTTATTTGTGTATTGTATTGCGGGTACGCTTCCTTGTGTTCATTAAAAAAAAATTTTGCAAGCAACAGTTTTAACGTACACGGATTCGGTGCGCAAGCCTCATTAAAAACAACGCCAAAAAAATTTGTTCAAAAATACGCGACCAAGAATTGATGGAAAAAAGCTTGTGCGCGGAGTCCGTGTAATCATAAGCTTGAAAATTTGTCATGCAAAAAAAACTAACTTAAGCCTCGTAATGTTTGTTTGGTTTACTTCTGGATGTTTATTTTTAAAAAAAGATTAAATGGTCTATCTTACATTCGAAGCAACTCGTTTTGTTTTTTTTTTGTTCCGATTGCAGCAAATTTGATAAGCATTGTTTTGCAGCTTTTTTTATAAAATTGGTTTTCGGTTTTTTTTTCTTCAAAATCACGTTTTAGCTGTTCCACCTTCAGGCAATTCCTAATTTCGAAAAATATTTCTGCAAAATTTATTTATCATTTTAATTAATTCCTCGATGAGCATTTGAAAATCAGTTTTTTAATGTATACGAACACCTAAAGACCAGAAAAAAAGAATATCATTTTGTTTTACACTATCATATTGAATAGTGTGCGTGTTTTTGTATTTTTTTCTCCGCAAAAATATTAGTTGTTTTTATTGGTGTTTACAGTAATTGTCTTTTGATTATGTCATGCTGATAGTTAGTTAGTTCGTTCGAAGCATTTTGATATTTTCTGAGGTCATTTGAATTTGCGTTCCTCTCTGTCCTAATAACAGCTTCATCTCCGTAAAAAAACCAACTTTGAGAGGATATTGAAATGATGAACAAAAGAAGGCTCAATTTTAAGCCACGAAGGTCACAGAACCTCAAAAATTGCGCATTTAATTTGTTTCTGCTTATGAAACAATTTGCTTTCTGTTCGGCAAATGAAATTTTTTGATTACACTTATGGGTCTTCTGAAGCCGTAGCTGTTATACTTTAACAGAATTTCATCATGTCTCACTGTATCAAACTTTTTGTTTCAAACTTTAAAAAAAATTTTGAGTTTTTTCACGCTCATTGCCCCAAATCGTTCTAATTTTTTTAGTTAGCGATAGTATGGAACCAAAAGTACCACGTCTACTACAAAAGCCATTTCAGTGGAGGCAAAACTTTCATTGAGGCCAAGAATTTAATAATATCCTTCTGTAATTTTTCCAATGACTGACAACAATGAGATTGCCCTGAAG